CGTCATCATCGGACCAATCAAGCTCACCGATGGAGGAACTGAGTACCGGATCTTGCCTCTCGGGGGGGGGGAGCTTCGCTTCGGCCTCCGGATCCTTCATCAGCCTGGGGAGTTGCAAGTTTTTCTTGGCCCATTTCTGGGTGAGTTTCAACTTCTTGAAAGCCCGGTGCAGCCTCCGGTAGATGAGCCGTTGCATCCTTTGTTGGCCCATGTCGTAATAAACAGACATCTCCCGAGCAAAATATTCTTGGCCAGCAGGGCAGTTCTGGCCCCAGTCTTCAAGACGATCCGCCACTACCTCGTAGCACCAGGGCCGACGGTCTTCAGCCTTCCAGCCTTCGGCCAGGAATTTCTCGATGGCACCGTCCACAGCTTTCTCAGCGGCCCTCTAAGATTCAGCCTGAGTCTTCACGGTGTCCTCGACCCGGAGCAGGGCTTCATCACGGCTTTTCAGGGCTTCATACTTGGCTCTCAGGGCATCATCCATGTCGGCCGCCACCTGTCGATAGGCCACATCGGCCTCATCAACACCCTTCTGCAGGGCCTTCACCTCTTCCCGGAGCCGATCCAGGCAGGCCATGGCCTCCTCGGCCGAAGCAGCTTTTTTCTCGGCCTCCTTCAACCGGGCAATCTCTTGTTCTTGCCGCTTATGGCTCTACATCTGCATAAGGGCACCCTGCAACAAAGCAAAAAGGTTAGGACGATGCGAAGACTCATGACACCAAAAGATGTTAAGTACAAGGAACTTACTTCGACGATAAGGTCCATCCCGCCATCATAGATCCTGACGGGGCCGAGCTTTTTCAGGTAAGCCCGGTCCTTGACCGAGACGGCTTGAGCAAGCACGTCATGGTCGTCAACGGCGTCATTGAAGGCGCCACCCTTTACAGGGTACTCAACTTCAAGCTTGTATGTCCCAACGGTCAGCTCTTTGCCGGCCCTCTTTTCCCGGGGCTCCTGGTCGGCAGGAAGCAGCTGAGACATAGTAGTCGAGGAGGGGACCGAAACCGCATCAACAACGACAACGACATTAGAACCCCCGACATCATCGGCCGGCATGGTCAGACCCCCGGCGTCAGCATCGGCCAGAGGGGAAGCCCTTTTCATCTTCTTGGGCTGCATACCAGCCTCGGACAGCTTCCTCTGGCCGTCATCCACTGGACGTTTCTTCTCCGGCTGTGTGGGTGGCTTCTTCGGTACATCGGAGCTCGGTTGCGCGCCGTTTGCAGCTGCCAGCTTTGCGGCCTCTTTGGCCGCCATTTCCTCCTTTGCCTTCGCCTTTGCAAGGGCCATGACGGATCTGCGATCCATAACGAAGTCTGCACAGCAAGGAAAACAAAAGACAGTTAATCGGCCTGGGAGCCCTAACCCTCCCATACGGCCCCACATACATCTGGTCCACCAAGTAATCGGCCGCGCTGCTCTCCGGCTTGATCAGATAGAGGTTCGTGAGGTCCAGGTAGGAGTAACCTAGACCCTTCTTCGGCCGACGCCTTCTCGTCGGGGCAGCTCCCTTCACAGCAGAAACCGGCTTCGGTCGAGGAATTGCAGCCGAGGTAGACGCTCCGTCCACAGCACGGAAAACCACTACGTCCTCACCTTCAGACGACAAGGTGGCCTCTTCGTCTTCACCTTCGCTACCCTCCTGCGCCCCTGATTTGAAGGAGCTCAACTCCTCTATTTCCTCACAACACTCCTCTACTACCCGGTAGTCAAGGGATTTAGCGGAGGACTTGTCGTCATAAGGGTAGTACTCATCGTCCAAGGGCTTCATCATAACAACTAACTAGAGCCTAGAGGGTGCTACTTTGGATCTAAGGGTGGTTCTCCACTAACAGCGGATCAAAGACTAAAAGAAGCAAAGTATGCAAGGAAGTGGAGAAAAGTTCAATGAAGTGACCTTTGAAGATTTGAAGAACGGAAGAACACACAGAAAGGCTCTCTCTCTCTAGAAATTTTGGCAGCACTTCGTTATCTCAGGAATGCAATGAGGAGCCTCTTCGGAGGGAGGGGGTATTTATAGACCTCCCCCCAACGGTCACTACATGTGGCACCCTCCCATTGGCCACGTGAAAGGCTACCACCCCCAAGGCCCATTGGGCTGGTACCGGTTCAGGAGGCGGGTCAGGCCCACTTCCACAGTACCAGCCCATCGCCAACATGAAAACAATCAGCGCCCGCAACGGCCAACCTAAGAAAGCGCGCCTACATCGGCCTCAACACGGATGACTTCAGAAGGGTAGGTCACACCTCAAAGTGTGTCCATATCGGCTTCAACAGAACGCCAAAAGCGTGGCCTTTTCAACGGCCACCACAGCAAAGCAAAAAGCAACCCCACAGCCATCGGCCTTGTATAAAACCCTGATGATAATTTCTTGAAAGCGACCTGCGTCCAAGGGTTCTCCCACAGGGTTACCTTGGTCAGGAAATCGCCAAGGAATTGGATTCAGGGGAATGCAAGAATCCGCTTCGGCCTAGGGCAGTCCTTTACACCTTCACCCCTCACTTAATTACTCTTCGGCCTGAAGTAGTGGGGGACTAGGGGACTACACCGGCCTTTGGAAATCAGGAGGACAAAATCAAAGAAATCCAAAAATATACTAAGTCCACAACTACAACATCAGATCATATATGCACCACAGCGTCCATAACCTAGCCGTGCACCATCGGCCGCAGCAAGTTAAGCAGACAAAGAATTCCCTCCAAAGATGCAACACCTAAGATCACAGTGCACTCAACGGCTCTAAGACCGCATACTCCACTCTCGGCCAGAAATTAAGACGGGAACCCATCGTCCTCAAAACATGGACACCAAGCCGCGAATACCATCACTCCTCAGCCAAAGACACAGAATGAGAGCCACAGCGGCCAAATAAAGCAAGCACCCTCACCGGCTACCCGAAGGAAGAAGGGCACTCATCGTCCTCGAACAGGAATTAACCACAATGGTCTCCTCGGCCATGAGTGCAAATTTCAATCATCAACGGCCAGGAGTAGGGAAACACGGTCTTCATCGGCCACTCGCGCAAGAGAACGCTCATCGTCTCCACCAAGCAAGGACACTCGTCGTCCTTGAAACCAGAAACATGCATCATCCACATTACTAGGGCCCTCTTCGTTTACAGCGAAGACCACACAACGGCCAGGACGCAGTACACCCGTAACAATGAAAATCAAGGACCAGAGCAAAGGGCGCCCGTAACGGCCAAGGAAAAAGTCAACACCAGGGACTCTACTCTCCTTCACTTCGTCTACATCTCAGCTCAGAGAGTGGGGGACTCCTGATGGAGTATATGGGCCTGGACCCCAGGGCCCACATACCCGGGAGAACAGAAGGTACCATGACCACTTGGTGGAACCCTCGTCGGTCAGATGACCCCCATCGGCCAGAAAGAAGTCTACTCAGAATGTGATCCAGAAGCCGGGAAGAGCCGGGTGACCTCATCGGCCGGGTCTTCATCGGCCATGCCCTCGTCGGCCATAGACAGTCTCCAGAACAGGATTTACACTTAATTTTTTCTATGTACTTTGTATCCGGCCCATTAGTGGCCCTATTGTAGATGGGCCTCCCAAGCCCAAGACTTGGGAGCTCAGCCCTAATTTTTCCTATAAATACTTCCTCTGGGAGTAGTTGTAAGGGTTCACAATTCATTAATACAAAGCAAATATACTACTTCTCTCTCTAGCTCTCACTTCTCTCTAGACTTATAGTCTATCAATATCTTATCTTGTCCGTCAAATTAATTATAATATTGCATTTGAATAATTTGAAAATTTAAATGTATAAAATGTATGATAGGTAAAATACCCTTAATTTTTACAGGTGAAATGTGCAAATATACCCTTAAAAGTATATATGCAGATATTGATATATCCTTAAAGTTCAAAAAGGTGCAAGCATACCCTAATGTTCGTACAAATGAGCAAATTAACCCTTAGTGATTTTAAATTCATACAAAACTAAAATACTCACAAAAAATAAAAATATCCTGGGTTCATAAAATGGAAATATTTAAAATGAAAAACTTTTTTTCTTAAAAAAATAGAATAACTTATATAAAAAAAAATTATTAAACTGAACAAAAAGAAAGATTTATTTTATGTTAAAATATTAAGGCTAAAATTTAAATTGCAAAATTATTATTTTCCCGTGAAAAGAAACACTTCATATTCATAAATATTAATTTTAGTCTTGTTGCAAAATTTTGAGCACATCGTTACATTTTTTGAAATAACATCCTTTAGTTTGGTTAAACTTAATAAAATTAAATTCACTATATTTGTAATCTTGGACTATTTATAGTGCAAACAAAACTAAAAATTAAGGATTTCTTTTTCATCGCAACACATATGTCAACACATTATGTATATATAAAGTGCATTATGTTTCAACAATTTATTTAACTGTTTTCCCTATTGAATTTTGAGTTGAAATTTTTTGTGAATAAACCAGACTTGATTAAGAACATGCTCAAAAACTTTCATAACAAAATGACATCGGAAAGGCCCTAAGACAGGCAAGTCAACACCACTTTTTATTTGATTCAGCTAATGCACAATTCAGCTTAACATAATGACACTAAACATTTGAATCTTGATCGTTGGGACCAAACAGCGATTCGGGACCGCCCAGTCCGGTCCCCATTTATCAAAATCAAGATTAGTCCCGCCGAATACCTGGTCCTGCACCGAAATCGGATCACCAGTCCCGATCCAGGTCTAAGACTGCTGTCGGGTTCACCATTAGGTGTGCCCCGTTAATAATGTTAATTGAATATGTTTTTGTTTGTCAAGGGTTGAATTGGTTATTTCTAAATTCAAGGGCTTAATTGCGGAAGTGGATATAACGAGTGGGGTTATTTGACAGTTTTACCAAGTAAAAAACATTAATATGTCCAATCATAAATGAAGAAATTAGAAAACTTGAGTCGTTAAGTCCACAAAAATCAAAAGAACATCATAGTAAAACAAATCAAAATGTAAAGTGAAACTTATATAATGCGGACACTTCATTAATTAGGAATTAGGGTGTATCATTTTAGCTCTCCGTTGGAGAAGTCACCCAGCCTTACACCTTGGTAGCTTAGTAGCTTACACAACCAAAGAGAAGGCCAAATACAAGAAGCCAAGAACCATATATCTCACTGATAAACATTTGAAGAAAAAGAATCACATGTCAAAAACACAATGCAAATATTGTCATCTCACCAATCATTTCATGTATCCTACAAAAACAACATTCAAATAAAAATCTTTTTATCTATATATAATGTAGAATACATTGCCCAACTTTCATTTAAAAAAAATTTAAAATAAGAGTAAAGATAGAGAGAGTTTGAATACACTTATTTTCCCCTATGGCGCCATGCCCGTTGGCGATGAGCTTGAATACTGAGGTGTTTGACCGTCGGAGCCTCTCGATGGATTATCAGATGATAGGCGTTCCATTTTCTCGATCGATTCGACTACATCACGCATTGTTGGTCTTGAATTCGGCACCTTTTCAACACACGACATCGCTATTTGAAGTAGTTGTACCATCTCTTCTTCCACATTGTGGTGCCTCATCAACTCAACATCAAATACCTCAGCGGTCCATTCTTCTGTAACGACACTTTTGACCCATCTAGGCAAATTCACACCATCTTCACCTATGGAAGTTTGGGTTGGAGCCTTACCAGTTAGAAGCTCTAAGACCAGTACTCCAAAGCTGTAAACGTCGGATTTGAATGTGGCTTTTCGGAGTTCAAACACCTCGGGGGCAAGATATCCTGTGTCCCGATTGGTAAGGGTCGCAGTGGTGAAGAGTGTGTTCAATCCGTAGTCCGACAAGCGGGCATCATGATTGTTGTCTTGCTTGAGAAGTACATTTGATGCCTTGATGTTGCCGTGAACTACACTTGATCTGTGTAGGTATGCAAGGCCTCTAGCGGCACCAAGTGCTATTCCTTTTCTGTTTTCCCAAACAAGGGGTGTTCGTCCTGACCCTCTACTACCTATGCACATTTAAAACACTTCAAATTTTATTAGGGTGAAGAACCATTTATCATATCAATAAACAAACGTGAAATATGTTGTTTCAACCTAAAACCTCATCGCAATGATGCTTAATTCATCTTGGAGAAAGCGGTCCAACTCAATTGGTTGGTGACTCACTCTCCCATACAGGAGGTCTCGGGTTTGAAACTTCATGGAGGGAGGAGTTTCAACCTTGTTTAAGTATTTAGGACAAACAAATTTTGTTGCCATTAAGATCAAATTAAGCATTTTAGTTGGCATTAAATTTTGTGTCTTTATTTGTCCAAATTAAGCACCTAACAAGCTTTTGTAGAAGGAAATAAAGAAGGGCAATCAGGATAGATCTACAAGCAGTCAGATTGCTGGAAAAAAAGTCAAAAAGGCCTACCAGTTCGATTGGAAAACAGCAATAAAAGCAAAAGATAATTGATGGCATAACCAATGTCCGATTTCACATTGAAACTTCCTTACAGGGAGGGATATTGAAGTTTTCTTAAGATATTGAATAAAATTCGGAAAACGTCAACAAAATATTGAAAAAGACTCATTCCTCCGTCCCCATTTAAAATTCATATATTTCGAATTGAAGGATCTTTTAAAAAGTCTTGTTTCTTTGCTTAATAAATAAAATATTATCAATTTTGTAATTATGCAGAGTCAAACAGTATCAGACCAATGCATCATTCCACAGTAAAATTGTACATAAATTGCTTTAAATAAAAGTAAAAGAGAATGTTAAATTCCAAAGCAGGAGTATTATAACTTTTCCATAAATAAAAATACTTATACTATCCTAAAACAAAAGCTCAAAAGAATCTTATGAAGACACACATGAAAATAGAAACTTAGAACTTTTTTATTATTAAATTGGCATAGATAGGGCCATAGGGAGCTTGCTTAACAAATGGTAAAACTTTAGACCAGAAAAGCATGTCTCCCTAATCTTTCATTTCTTTCATGATTAGGAAAGAAGAAATTGTGACCCTAGTAATCATTGTGGTCTGCTTTAATAAAAGAAGTTGTGATATAAAAAAATGAGTTGTGATAAAATGTTTATTATTGCATGCTGCGGGAGTCGTTCTATTTGTACACGTTCTTATACACATTCTTATACAATTGTCTGTGACAGGTCATTTTTTTGTCCGTGAATCGGCGTGTTTTGTCTATCACAGACAAAAAAATATCCACAGACAAGTGTATAAGAACGTGTATAAGAAAACGGGTACAAGATAGATTTTTTGTTTACCAAAAGAAACACAGACTACTTCCAAAAAGGAGTTTGTCCAACCTTCAAACTTTCAAAGCTTAAACGCGTTTGTGGTAAAAAAGATAACCCGTAGTCCGTATCATATTTCATCAAATGAACCACGTAGTACGGAGTAGTTTTTATTTAATTTTCAATTAGTTTACAGAAGAATTCAATTTAATAAATTTAGTTACGAACAAATTAAATTAGATTAATGATATTTTTAATAATTTAGTTACGAAAATCATTTGTATTTTTTCCTTTTTAGCAATTAAATCTTCATATTACATCTGTAGCATGTGTATATTTAATAAAATTGGTACCCATTCGTAACTCTCATTAGAATAGCCTCTCGGAAAATTTGAATTTTTTGTCAAAAAAAGTATTCGTAGGAAAAATACTCATAGTCTGAATTTCATTATGACAAATGCTAAAAGTATCCTAAAATGTACCACAATTTTACCCCACCCCTGATGTGTGGTCATAAATGGAGTAATTCATTTAGTGGAGCATCACTTAAATGAATTGCCCCATTTATGACCACACATTAGAGTGTGAGGTAAAAATGAGGTACATTTGGGACATCTCTAGCAAAAATCTTTCATTATACTTCACTTAGTCTGCGTAATTAGAAATATACTTTCATTTAACATTTCCCTTGTAATCAACTAGGTATTCAAGAGTGCATGACACAAAGTAACAAAACCACAATTGTGGACCAAACAATCTAACGCTTTTGACCTGGCATGACGTCTGGTAGGGTAGAAAATTATTACTCCTTACTTTTATGAAACTCGAGGAGTGTTGTGATGCTTTACCGGCCGTTTGGTACTACTCCGTAGGAAGTATTGTTTTTCGGCTTATAACCTCACTACGGAAGTATTGTTTTTCGGCTTATCACCTCACTTTTTCATCAAACATGTAACTTTTATTTTGCGCGTTGAATTGTGTAATAATAAGAAAAAATAAGATTGGAGTTACTTTTCTGGTTGTATTTACTGAAGTTATTGTATATGACCACTTTAGCTATTTTTACATACTATCCTCCGTATCACATTAGTTGCAACATTGGAATATTTACACTATTCATGTACTTTACTTTGACTACATTTTATTTATTAATATATGTGAATTATTTTTTTAAAAAAGTATTTTTAAATTCGTTTCATTACTAAGTTTTATAATCTGATTTTTATTTTATTTTTACTAATACAGAATTAAATGTAATGACGGTCAAAGTTGTGCGTTGACAAACGTGATAAAGGGAATGTTGCAACTAAAAAGAGACGGAGGAAGTATATATTTTCTTTATTTTATTAATAAAATGTATTTTAAAAATAATTTTTTCTTAAATCAGCAGAATCATCCAATGTTGCAGTCACTCCAGCAAGAACTTCATAAGTTTCAGCAGATTAAGTCGAATCAGCCCATAATCATATTTCTTATGATGAAATGAAAAAGCCATTTTTTATCCCATGAACTGACTTAGAAAAAGGGCATTGAACTCAGACCTGCACAATACCGGGCCGGCTCGCCCGGCCCGCCCGGCCCGCCCATATAAATGGGCGGGTTTGGACACATGATTTAGCCCACCGGGCCGGGCCCGTCCCGGCCCGTTTAAAATATGGGCGGGCTTGGGTTGTAATATAGGCCCGGTCGGGCCTAAAAGCCCGGCCCGTAAACATATTATATATATTATATTATATATATTATTCTATATATAATTATACAGTATATGACTATACGTATAAAACTTAAAATACTTGGAAGTATTAAGGTTTGGACTTTGGAGACCAACAAACATCCTAATGGCTACTGCTATACCATCGGCCCAACCAAGTAGTCCGTATTAAATTAAAAATTTAAAAACTCAAAACCCTATTGGTTTTTACTCAAATAATGAAAACTCAAAACCCTATTGGTTTTAAAAATTATTTCAATGTTTTCACTTTGTTTATAAATAATATTTGGTTTTCATTATTTGATATTTATTGGCACTTGGCAGAGCAGTCTGGGAGATCAATTACTTTCTGGTGAAATGAAGGAGTGTCAAGAAGTTCTTGGAATCGTGGGATACCAATTACTTTTTGTGTTCTACTATTTAAATTTGAACTGTAATGATATACATTTGTTAAGTCTTTTTGGAGATACTCTTGACTATTTCCGCTGCACATTGTGAATCTGTGATTGTGCTTTTAATTATGGAATATGGATGCTTATTTGGAATTTGGATGCTTTTTGTTTTCCATAATCGTCTTGTGTATTGCATTTAAATGTATTCTTGTGTTCAAAATGTGTTGTGAGTACATTAATTATTTAATTGCATTTAAAATGTTGTGATGTTATTTTATAAATGTTTTCATTTTTTTAACAGAGTTGACAAAAGGATATTTTCCGGGCCCAAAAGCCCGGTGGGCAGCCCGGCCCGCTCTCATGGGCGGGCTTGGACATATGAGGAGGCCCATTTTACCGGACCGGGCCGAGCCCACCCACTACAAGTGGACAAATTTTTTAGAATAAACCCGGCCCGAGCCCGACCCAAGCTCGTGTTTGTGCAGGTCTAAACTCAAGCATCTAGGGTGCAATTTTTTTGATAGATGCCTAAACTTAGCCGAACACCATACCTACTTTGGTAGGCAAACTTTTACCCCAAAGGCCCAAATCCATTATTTGACTTTGGTATCTGCTCAAGTGTGATTTACTTGCTTAAGTGTGATTTACTTGAATAGTCTTCTTGAATAGTATTTTGTGTTTTAACTACTATTTTGATTCTATAAGACTTCGTCAATTTTTCTTATTTAATCATCCAAAAAAATTGTCATTTTCTTTAAATTAATATAAATATACTTAAAACTAGAAAAAATGACATGTATATTACTTACATACTTTTATCAAACATAAATATAACTAGTAATGTTTCTGGACAAGAAATATGATTAGTCACTGTGCACGAGTAACTGGATCAGAGTCACTATAGTTTATTTCAGAGTGACAAGTTAGTGATAAATGATTAGTCACTGAGAACTAGTCACTAAAAAGTCACTTTTTGGAAAATTTTAAAATAAATCATATTTTTGGGTCTAGTTTTGTGAGATAGAAGAACTACTGTTTATGGAAAAGGGTCTTAAAACTATTCTTTTCTCTTTTGCACAAATATCATATCAATCATATAATTTTTATTTTATCTATAAGTCAAACTGAGTCAAGTTTTGTGAGATAGAGGAACTATATTTATATTTGAACGCGATTAAATCTAACCAAGTTTGATTTGGTATGATATTATCTAGTATCATTAGACACAAATTAAAAATGAATCCAAGTATAAGTTGTTGGAAAAATTGTATTAAATTTGCATAAAATGACCACTTTCGGGCATATTTTTGAGTGTGGTTCACTTCTAATTTGGGTCGAGTCAAGGTGGATCTGGGTTCCCCTTTATAAGGTCTTCGATTCGATATATGATACACTCAAAACAAATAACGGGTGAATATAAAATTGATTCTCAAAATTCACTCATTGAAATTGAGAATTTGAAAAAGTAATGGGTTTTAGTGGGAAATTGTCCCACACCAAAAAACCTAAAGGATTTTTATCACCTTATATATGAGACCTTCTTTGTAGGTGTTAAAATTATATAGCAGAAAGCATCTCTCCATGCGCAGAGGGTGGCAAATCAAATCCCGAACGTTGTGTTTTGCGAGCTTCCTACGAACACGAATGTCGTTTGAAAATCTATATTACACGAGCTATACACACTAGTGCTACACTGAACTATCCAAAGAACAAACTCTACCAAGCTTCCGAAAAACTCCTCTTGTTCTACCTACCTTTGTTCCAGTTTGTCGGAACAACCTATTGAGCGCCCAATAGAGTTGTTCGTTTGCCATCATATCTTGCGAAACTAATGTTGCAATGATTCTAGCACCGTGGGAGGCAACAAATTATTTTTAAGAGCTTTGTGCGTCACACAAACTTTGGTTGTTTCTCTATTCGTTCTACTTTCTATTCATTGAGCTATTTTATTCTTTTTCCAAAAACAACAAATTCCCCAACATAAGCGTCCATTATAACTACAATTGTGAGAGATGTATCTACTTAATAACCTCATTTTCGATTTATCAGCCTTATGCGTCAATTTTTTGTCATATACATAACTTTTAATTTCACGCGCTGAATTGTGTAATTATCAAAATAACTAAGGTTAAAATTACTTTTCTAATTGAATTGGTCAAAATTGAAGTCGATGACTATTTTAGGTAATTTGTTATATATTTTTTATTTTATTAATATTTTTTTCACAAATATTTAGCTGATTCAATCATTTTAGCTAGAATTTAATCAATTTCTGCGAATTCAACTTATCTGATCAATTTTAATGTTATCATGCAGGTTCTAATTACGCCTTATGTCCTTAAAATGTTGCAATTTTTGAATTATTTGATCAATCATGTTAAAATTTTGACCAATTATACATTTTATAGGAAAATTATCTACTCTATATAATGATATATAAATATTCTTTGTTTAAATATTTTTCATAAAAATATAAAATTTATAAAAATATTGATAGGACCGTATAATATTGATCAAATTCAGTTGGGTTCACATAAAAGAAAATATGTGACCTTAAAGTCGATTGAAAAAGTAATACCAATCACATACAAGAAACACATGCCAGCTGCCCAATCAAATAAAGCTGATATGATCTACAGACAACCTGCCCGTTCTTATAAAAAAGACAGATTTATCTAAATATGATTAAATAAAATGATAATTGGAGTTTAAAGTTTAAATTAGGACTAACTCTTCCTATTCTATCCAATTATTTGTCCTTCCTAATAGTATTTTTTAAACAATCATTATAAAATATAAAAAAATAAAAAAAAATCATAAAAATAAATAAAAAATATACAAATGTAAAAACCTCAATCAACCACCTCAGCCACCTTCCAGCACCGCCACCTCCGATCGCCGGAAAAGATTGTCAAGTTGGGGAAAATGCTATGTTAATGACATCTTTAGCGAAATGTGACCTTTTTACAAAATGATGACATTTGTTTCCGATGACCGGAGCTGGTGGTGCTGGGAGGTAGAGAACGCGTTGGCAGTGATCTACATATTTTTTTAAATATTTTTAGGTATTTTATTTTATTTTTAGAATTTTTAAATTTTTTTAATAATTTATTTTTTAATTTAAAAAAAATCAATTTTGGCAATTTTTCTTTTTAATGTTTTTCCATCATTTGCAATGGAGCCAAAGATTCATTGTTTTTTGGCTTGAGATTATGATTGAATAAAGCAAAATGGCTCACTAAACTGTCTGCGTTTCTTTGTTATGGAGCAGCAGTCAGTCCATGCAATTTTGGATGCGATTTTCACTATGGGTCATCCGGAAACAGTCTCTCTGTGCTTTAGTACAGAGGTAAGATGTGTACATCTGACCCCCCCCCCCCCCCCCTTACCCCATCGTAGGTGGGAGCCTTTGCGGCACTGGGGTAAATGAAAATGAATTTTATATTTTAATTTTAATTTTTTGTTTTTATTTTATTTTTTCACTTTTTTATTTTTAATTTACAAATATTTTATTATTATTTATATATTTATTATAAATAAAACTAATTTTCTTATTAATAAAATAAATCTATTGAAAATTATAGGAACGGGCAAAATGGGAAGAAGATACATATTTTAGTCCTATTTTGGAAATAAATGAATTGTACTCCTATTGTTGAATTTTGGGCTTATTATAGTCCTATGAAGGGGGGATTCCCGATAAAAAAATCCAATACAAGTATTTTTATAGCATGCCTCAAAATATAAGTAAATTAGTGATGGGCCGATGGATGGTATTTTAACACAATTAATTTACTTTTTCAGTTCAAGACCAGACCAGACTTAAACAGACTAGACCAGATCAGACAAGACTTAAACAGATCAGACCAACCAGACTTGGTTTTTGTAGTTATAAAATACACAGAGACCAGACATCTATCTGACCAGTCCAGTTCAGACCAGATTAGACTTAAACAAATCAGACTACATAGAATTTAAACAAGTCATATAATACCATCAAATTACTGTCCAAGTAAAAACATCATAACCTTTTTCTTATGATTCTTTAGACCAATAAAAACTACTACCTGTGATATGATTTGGAGTACAAAGAATGCCAATAACTACATCATCATCTAAATAAGTCGCAAAAACCCAACCAAATAACGTAATAAACCTATAAAAGTGGGAGGGAAGTCCATTAAGTTTGGCCAAAATATGAGCAATATTATGATATCACTAAAGAGATAACGTTTGTCTCAAGCCACCTTAACCTCGCTTAAACAGTTAAACATGAGTTATATCTTTTTCACATTAGTCTTACATATAATTTTTTAAAGGCTATCATCTAAAATGACAATTTCTTTAGGTAGTAGTTAAATTGAGTATTATTTAAGATTTAGCTTGAATGTGTAAATAACATAACATGATACTTGGTGATAGCTATGTTCTTATGGTTGTATTGATTTTAATATGGATCACGAAATTGTTAATTACTCCGAATTTTCTAAAATGAAAATGGGACGTTCAAAAGAGGTGGATAGGAATCTTAAAATGACAAGAAGGGAGTACTAGGTTTGTTATTTCACCAAATTATAATCAATATAAATAAGAGAGTTGGTTTTTTTACTGAATTAGTCAAACACTATTTTAACTTTATATTCATACGATTTTTCTGTTTTTTATGAGTAAAATGTATTCTAAATATAATTTTTAAATGAAATTTATGAAGTTCTAGCTAGCTGAAGTGGTTGTACGACTGTTTCTACTAAGCTGATAAGCCGAAAACAAAATCCCCAAACGGGCATTTTCCTTAATGAATCATCAAATTTCAACGTTACTAGAAAGCATTGAATCTTTGACATTTAAATTAAACTCTAATGAATAATCTAGCAAAGTAAAACTAAAAAATGTGCAGATTGATAGAAATTTCTTGTAAGATGGAATAGCAGTAGTAAGAGAGAGGGGAGTAACATACCATGAAAAAGAGCTGATAAGCTACCAGCAGGCATGTAATCAGAGACTAACAATTTCTCATCTCTGGAGTAGTAATAAGCTCTTAATGGAAGCAAATTCTCATTCTCCAGCTTCCCCACAACCTGCATTTGCTCCTCAAACTCTGTCCTCTCCGCCGACACGTCCTTCATCCGCTTCACCACCACCGTCGTCCCCTCCTCCATCACCGCCTTGTAACTCGTCCCCGTGCTCCCTTTTCCCAGCACCTCCGCCGACGCCCTCAACAGGCTCTCCAAATTAAATGTGTACCCGCCCCCGCCGCCGAGGAACACCAGCCTACTCCCCTCCCCTGCGGCTGACCCTCCGGTGATGTCGTCTTTCGATGACGACGTGCCAGGCGGTTCCACCACCGCCCTTCTCGGACCCGCATTCGCAATCGCAGACGGCTTTGCTTCCCTCTGTGTCTTTCCCCTTCTGAAGCAGAGGAAGAGAATGAGTAAAAGGAGAAGAACTCCGACCACCGAGCCTATTACGATCCCGGCAATGGAACCGGCGGAGAGTTTCTTGTGGGAAGGGGCAGGGGAAACAGATGGGGCAGGGGAAGGGGAGCTTTGGTTGCACGGCGGCAATGGGTCGCCGCAGAGATCGTTATTTCCGGCGAAAGCCGACATCGGGTATTTCGATACTGTGCTCGGAATCGGCCCATTGAGGCGATTGTTTGACACGTTGAAATCGGATAGAGAAGAAAGGGTTAAGGTCGGGATTTTCCCAGTGAAGCCATTGTTCTGTAAATAGAGCCGAGTCAAATTGGAGAAATTGTTGACCGCGGCCGGAATTTCACCGGAGAAATTGTTGGAGGAGAGGTCTAGCCGGATCAACCGAGTCAAATTCGCCAGACTCGCCGGAAATTTGCCGGAGAACAAGTTATTCTGGAGGTAAAGGTTCCGAAGATGTTCGAGATTCGAAAAGTCATCAGGGATCGGACCAGTGAGCCGGTTGGACCGGAGACTCAGAACCCGGAGCTGGCTCAACCCTCCCAAAGTGCCCGCCGGAATATTCCCCACTAACCCGACGGCCGGAAAGCGGAGAGCGAAAACAAACGACCGGGTCGCATCACATTCCACGCCAACCCACGAGCAGACCGTGGCGGATGTATTCCATTGCAGGCGATTGCTGTGTTTGGTCTTCGACAAGAAATCAAGGAGCGCGTTTCTGTCCTGAACCGGCTCCGCGTTGACTCGGCGGATACTCAGTTCAAACGCCAGAAAACCAAGAAAAAGAACAAACCCAGAATGTAAAATGGCCTCCATGAGTTTCCCCATCGAGAGAAAACCAGAAATGTGATTAAACGGCGAGCAAGCCACGTCACCGGCGAGTTGCCATCAAAGAGGGACAGTTTCTAAGAAGAGCAGCACAGCTATTCCTTGATACGGCGTATATAATAATGCAGGGAAGCCGGTGGAGTGAAGGAGGGAGAAAAAGTAAAGGACCGAATACTATAGAAGTACGGAGTATGTTCTCACTCCCTCACTATCATCTAGAGGTTAAATAAATTCTAATTTAAGTTTAGATAAAATTATAGATTTAATCCCACAATTTTTGGTTGTATCGCGTTTAATCTAGTAACTTTACTCATTTATTATAAATTTGTTTGTGAATAATTTTGGAGATGCTACTTAATCTATTTTAAATTTGTATCTTAAATACTTACTTTCATAGTTCACATCAGGGTGGACAAGGTCTAGTCCCAAGGCAATATTGTGACCGTTTGCGTTTACATCTACTTTACAAAAGTGATTTTTTTGCGATTTTAGAAAAAGTGTTAATAGAGTATATGGGCTCAGATCACATCCTCTGTGGCCACACCAACGGTCACCTTCATTAGAACCAATCAGTCGCAAACCTTTCAAATTCTCGGCAAGATACACCCACTCCGGCCAAATCAGCCACGAACAATAGGTCATTCAACGGCCGCCACACAAGCAATTGGTTCAGCGGCCAAAACCGGCACTTCATCGGCCATGACCTATAGTAAGGTACAATCCAAAAGCCCTCGGCCTCTCGTACAGAACTCATTGATGATAGCCTCTAGCATGCGACCTTCGTCCAAGGGTTCTCTCACAGGGTTACATTGGTCAGGGATTGCTAGGAGGTTGGATTCATGAGGAATGTGAGGGTTTCGCTTCGACATAGGATACTATTTTACTCCTTCACACCTAGCATGCTCTTCACCGTGAAGGAGTGGGGGCTAGGGGACTACACCGGCCTCTAAAAGTAAAACATCCCAGAGATAAATCAAGAACAGAAAACAAAGGGAATCAAAACCACGCCATTGGCACCATAGCGTCCACAAGAATGTGGTTCATCTTCTGCCAAAGTCGGTACACGGAAACATGAGAGTAAAGAACAAAGGACACGTATCGTCCTCATAACAACGACATCCATCGTCCACAAGAACCAAAACAATGGATCTACATTGGCTTCAAAGACAATAAACAACCATCAAACATCAAGCAAACATCAACAACGTCGTCCAAAGAAAACAACAGACCACACAACGACCAGATGCAAGAAAAGAGCAAACAACGTAATATCAACTACAGATGGTTCCGCATCGGCCAAAAGCAAACAGAACAACAATGATTCACTCCCTTTTTTCACTTCGTCTACATCTCAGCTCAGAGAGTGGGGGACTCCTGATAGAGTGTATGGACCTATACCCCATGATCCACATACTCAGAAGACTAAACACAAGCACAACTAGCACCCACATGGTCCTTCATCGGCCAGATGGTCCTTCGTCGGTCAAACATCTATGAACTCAGAATATGGTCTAGAAGCCCAGGAACATGACTTGGTCCTCCGTCGGTCAGGCCCTCCATCATCCAAAGAGACCAAAGCTGAGCTGAATCATGTACTTAGCCTAATAAATCATGTATCCGTCCCGATAGAGGCCTTATTTTGTAATGGGTCTCTCAAACCCAAGACTTGGGAGCTCAAGCCCATATTTTCCCTATAAATACTCCCCTTGGGGGTAGTTGTAAGGGGTTGAGAAATATTAATTGTTCATTCTCTCTCCAGCTCTCACTTCTTTCTAGAAGTTAATACTCTATCAAGTGCTTTATAGTAAAAGTTGATAGTATTTTGGAATAAAAGTGATTCTGATGAAAAAGTAAAACTTAGAGTGTTTGGTAAATGTGGAAATGGGTGCATGAAAGTTTGAAAAATTCCCTTTTTTGTTCAAAGCTAAAAAGTTGAATAACTTGTATGTGTGTCATGTTCAACCATTCAGTGATTCTAATCATGTTGTTAGTTCTGATAAAATTGCTTTGTGGCATAATAGATTAGGACACATGAGTAATAATGGATTAGAGATTTTGAATAAATCGGGTTGTTTTGGTAAGGACTCTGTGTCTTCCATCACCTTCTATGAATCTTGTGTGTTATGCAAGCAACATAAGGTTAAACTCTCCTCCTCCCCTTACCCTAATCCCACTAAGTGTACCTCTGTGTTAGAATATGTTCATGATGATATGTGGGGTCCTGCTAGTGTCTCTACCCACGGAGGTAAGAGATACTTTCTGTCCATTTTTGATGATGTTTCTAGGAAGGTGTTGGTCCGTCTCCTTGAGCTTAAGTCAGATATCTTTGTGAAGTTTAGGGAGTGGAAAAACCTTGTAGAAAATCAAACAGGTAAAAAGGTCAGAACCCTTAGGACTGATAATGGACTAGAATTTTGCAATAAGGACATGCTCCAACTGTGTGTTGATTGTGGGATAAGAAGGCATAAAATTGTGCCCTATACTCCCCAACAAAATGGGATAACTGAGAGAATGAATAAGACTAATCTAGAAAAGGTTATGCGTGTGCTTACTATTGCCGGTTTGTCTAAAAAGCTTTGGGGTGAAGCAGTTAACAATGCTGCCTATTTGATTAATCGGCGTCCCTCTGCTCCCCTGAGTGGGAAATGCCATGAATCTGTTTTTTCAAAACAATC